TAAAATAAATGGTCCTTCATTTCCCTGTGTTGAATAACTCAAAGAATATTTACACATGTGCTCTGATAAGAAAATATTTTTTAAACTTTGAAGAAATAGGCCGGGTGCAGTGATTCATGCCTGTTAACCCCAGCACTTTGGGAGGCCGAGATGGGAGGATCACTTGAGCCTAGGAGTTTAAGACCAGCCTGGGCAACATAGGAAGACCTCATCCTCATCTCTACTAAAAATCAAAAAAAGTTGGCCAGGTGTGGTGGAGCATGCCTGTGTTTCCAGCTACTCAAGAGGCGGCAGTGAGAGGATTGCCAGGGCCCAGGAGTCCAGGCTGCACTAATCACAGCACTGCACTCCATCCTATGTGACAAAGCAAGACCCTGTAGCCAAAAAAAAAAAAAAAAAAAAAAAAAAAAAAAAAAAAAAAAAAGGCCAGGTGTGGTGGCTCATGTCTGTAATCCTAGCACTTCGGGAGGCCAAGGTGAGTGGATCATGAGATCAGGAGTTCAAGATCAGCCTGGCTAACATGGTGAAACCCCATCTCTACTAAAAATACAAAAATTAGCCAGGCATGGTGGTGGGTGCCTGTAATCCCAGCTGCTCGGGAGGCTGAAGCAGAGAATTGCTTGAACTCAGGAGGCAGAGGTTGCAGTGAGCCGAGATCACACCACTGCACTCCAGCCTGGGCAACAGAGTGAGTGAGACTCCATCTCAAAAAAAAAAAAAAAAAAAAAAAAAAAAGATGAAGAAGAAGAGGAGGAGGAAGAAATAAATAAATTTCTATGGTTGAATGCAAGTTTATTGAGTCAAGTAAAAGAACAGGATTCAGAGAAATAGACTTAAATGTTTTCATGAAAAAAAATCATGAGAGATGCTCCTCCAAATGGTTCAGATATTTCTGCTGGAAGAGGTCACTGCTGACAGTCAAGACATATTTTACTGGATATTGAATCAGCCAAAAATAAGATGGTCCTTGTGGACCCTAACCATGTCACAGCACAGCACTGCCTTTGGTGGTGGCTTTTCCACAGGGAGCCCAGTTGGCACAGTGTAGAGTCTGGAAACGCCACGATTGCCACAGGGCCCTTCCTGTTCAGGGTAAATCTTACTATCCATACGCTATGTCTCCTACCACTTACACTCTCTCTCCTCCATCGCTCATCCTAAGAAAAGCCTCTTAGCAACTGGAAAGGACGCTGATTTCCCTCCACCTTCCCCTCACTCAGAAGAACAGAACGCGGACCCCCAAGCACTGCACTGAAGGGCAGTAAAACCAACGCGTGAGGGTCCAACCTAGGGGCATAGCACTGGACCTTCCACATGAGGCCTCTACCCTGAGCCGCTCCAAGAAGGTGAAACACAAAGTGATCTGTGTGCATCTGTGCACGTGGGGAGGGCGGAGCTGGTCCACCCAGACGCATTTTCCAGGAAGTCCATCTAGGCATGTAAGCAGGAGGGTGAGCGGGAGGCAGTCTTGGCTCAGTGGTAGATGAGCTGCCAAAATTTAAGGAGATAGCCAGAGAAGGCATGGGCAGCGGAATTTTGGAAACAAACGTCCAGGAAAAAAAGAGAGAGACCAGGAGAGAAAAATAGCAGCACACAGATCTTCTCCAAAATGGGAGCCACCCACCCAGAACACCTGCTGTCAAGGATTATGTTAGTCTAGATCCCCTCAGGCACCCCACACACACTCTACCAGGCCCCCAAAGAGGAGTAGGTGGCAGTTGCTGGTGCAGCCACTCTTGACCCACCAGCACTGCCCACGACCACGGGGACTGGTGTCCCACAGTCCTCCAGAGCAGCACCGAGAGGGTCCCAGAGGAGGAAGGTGCCCCCACAGCCGGGCCCTGTGTCCCTGGGGACTGCAGTGCATCTGACTCAGAAACGTGCACCCGACGAAGAACATTCCGTTCACTGTGAGAATTTGTCCACAGTAAGAACTTTGGAAAAAGTCTTTCAGTGGCTTTATAGAAAATTGTAATTGAAGGGGAGTGAGCCAGGGGTTTTGATACATTTCCTCTTGGTTCTGTCCTTTATTCAGCAGCTTGTAATAATCCCCTTTCATCCTCTTTCTCCCTGCACTGTTCTAACAGGTTGGGCACCCCACATCTCTCATCGTATTCTGTCGACCTCCTTCTGTTAAGAGAGAGAAGAGAGAAAAGAGAAGCAGGTACAGAAAAGAGAGAGGTGCTAGCAGTTCCGCACTAGGTTTCATAGATGGATCTCTGGCTTTTGAATAACTCACACAGCAAACTGTTTTCTAAGAACATGGCGTTTTATAAATAGGCATCAATTAATCTGTTGTATGAATGAATGAAGAACAAACAGATGCCTGCACAGGAGATAGATACCCTTTGTCTGTGCTTCCTAAAATGCTTTATGCTTTGGACCTGTGTATAAAAATGTATTTTATATATTTTCATCAGTCACCATAATTTAGGTGTTTGCTTGAATGCATTTTAAAACCTATTGTGGTGACAATTTGTAGTCTCTATTTAAAGTGAATTATTCTTTGCATCAACAAATCACAAGAGAAGTGGTGGTTATTTTCATTTGGTTATAGCTGTCTGGGGGCAAACGTGCAAAAGTAATTTTACTTGTTATTACTGTATGCCTGTAGTGTTTACAGGCATAATATACAATCAAACATAGGAAGAAAGAAGTCCCGTACTATGCAGGAAGCCCTGCATTTATATAATTATCGAGCCTCAGAAGATGTTCATGTTGATTCAAAGATTGAGGAAAACAGCTTCCTTTCTCAGAACTCTCTCTCTGCATACATTGATTGTAGGTAAAAGTCTCTTTTTCTTCAGCTTTCAGATATTCTTTAACTTTGGCCAGGCACAGTGGCTCACACTTGTAATCCCAGCACTTTGGGAGGCCGAGGCGGGCGGATCAGAAGGTCAGGAGTTCGAGACCAGTCTGTCCAATATGGTGAAATCCCATTTCTACTAAAAAATAGAAAAAATTAGCTGGGTGTGGTGGCGCAGCCCTGTAGTCCCAACTACTCGGGAGGCGGAGGCAGAAGAATGGCTTGAACCCAGGAGGTGGAGGTTGCAGTGAGCCGAGATTGCATCACTGCACTCCAGCCTAGATGACATAGTCTCACTCTGTCACCATTTTGGCAAAGGTGGTTCGATTGGACCAAATTATCTCAAGGTGAAACACTGTCACATTTATTTGAATATATTCTTTAACTTTGAATATTCAAATGAATAAGACAGTATTTCACCCTGAGATAATTTGGTCCAATCGAACCACCTTTGCCAAAATGGCTTTTATTTTCCCCGTTTTAGGAGGCACACTGGTTTGTTATGAAGCCCGCCTCCCCACTGTCTTGGTGTCTGTACTCGGGGACAGCTGAATACAGTCACATCTTTATCACTGAAGCAAATGAAAATGTAAATACTGACAGTCTTTTTGAGAAAAATATTGCACTATCATCAAAAAACAAAAGTATTTGCTTTCTTCGTGACACTCGAGACTAGCTTAAAGGCTATTTCTTTTCATTTCGAATGTTCTAGAATTGAGCAAAGCCAATGTTCTTCAAACAAGGCCACTGTGATGACAGATCATTTGATATACGACTCCATTTTTAAAATATTCGTAACTCTTAAAATATTTTGTACAAGGAACCTGTTTCTGTTTGGAAGCGTTGGGACAGGGTGCAGTGACCCCTGTGAGTCCCAGCATCCCCACAGTGAGAAGGAGCTTCCTTAATGGGCACAGAGCACAGGCTTTGGAGTCTGAGACAGCTGGACTCATCCCTCCCTGCCACTTAGCTCCTGTGACACTCGGGGGAAGTCACCGTTCTGCTGGGATTTAGCTTCCATCTCTGTAAAAGGGGGATTAACAGTGCCTCCTACACAGGGTGGTGACAGCAATTAAATGAGGAAAGCATTTAGCAGAATCGCTGGCACATACCAGGTACGGAAATGTCCTAGGTACAGCTCTTAGGCTTCTCTTCTCTTGCAGTTGTTTACAAATAGGGCTTATTTATTGCTGGGGATGTATTCTTAGCACGCACTTCTTTCATTCATTTGAAAATGCATTTATTGGGTGCTTACAGCAGGATAGTGAAAACATGCTTAGAATAAATAACATACTCAGAATAAATAAATGCAGGTGAATATAAAGACATTCTGTTTCATTAGTTGTATTAACCTTAAACCTCCTCAGAGAACAGTGAGTTAAGGAGATGAGAGATGGCAGTGGGGAGTGGGGGCAAATGATGAGCTGCATTTTTGTAAAAACTGTATAAGTATTATTGTATACGGCTGTGATTTTTTTTTAATGGGCCCAAATGAGTATGTATTTATTTGCTATGGAGTACTTGAAATCTTTATTTATAGACAGTAAGAATCCAGCCAGGCCAGGCACAGTGGCCCACTGTAATCCCAGCATTTTGGGAGACTGAGGCAGGAGGATTGCTTGAGCCCAGGAGTCCAAGACCAGTGTAGGCAACATGTTGAGACTTTATCTCTACAAAAAATAAAAGTATTAGCTGGGAATGGTGGTGCATGCCTGTAGTCCCAGAACTTGGGGGTGAGGGGTGGCTCTGGAGAGGACTGCTTAAGCCCAGGGCGGTCAGGGCTGCAGTGATCCATGATTTCCATGATTGCACCACTGCACTCTGGGCAACAGAGCAAGACTCTGTTTTGAACAAAACAAAACAAACAAACAAACAAACAAACAAAACAGGAATAGAATAGAAGAATCCACCCCCAAACATATCAAAGTAAGACATCTATTGCTTCAAACACTGGGGCCAGGCAGCTGTATGTTCCTGCTTTCGTTTTCAGGTAAAATAAATAAATAAATAAAGGCCTACACCATGGAGTGGACTTGCCCAAAGTCTGATTTCAACTCCAGTACAGGGCTCTCCTCAGCATCCAGCACACGCTTCCCTGACTTTGCACAAAGGGCTTGCTTTAGACAGGGACTGGATTACAGATTCTGCCACTTTACCCTGGAATTACTCTCCACACACACTGGTCTCTCTACAGGACGCAGCTCTCTGCCCCCATGTCACCACCTTTGAAGGACTGACTGACTCCCTCGGCTTGTGCCAGTGCCTGCTGCCACCATGGGGCCCGCGGGGAGCCTGCTGGGCAGCGGACAGATGCAGATCGCCCTGTGGGGAAGTCTGGCCGCTGTCACCATTTTCTTCCTCATCACCTTCCTCATATTCCTGTGCTCTAGTTGTGACAGGTGAGAACCAGAGTGTGTATACTGGTGCCTAAACAAGTATATCCCCTGTACCCAGAAGCATTTATGTGAAAAGCCTGTTAGGAATTGAATCCACCACAGATCCATCACAGAAACCTGGGTGTTAGGTTTAACTCCCTTCTGTCTGCTGCAAAGCATCCCAGGACATTCTTTATTCACTTAAGGAAAACCCGTATTTGATTTTTCTGGGGAGCAACTAGAAAAGCCCTTATATTGTAAACTTCCCAGAATGAAAGTCGTGCTGTTCTTTTGAGCACACGCTTGTCAAAATGGATTTTGTCTTTTGTCATCAGTGGGTGTTTTGAAATCTTGTGTGGCATGCATCTTTTTGCTACCATCCCGCGGAAGTCACTGAGAATGTTTGCTGCTACGTGGCTTCGGAGGGATCGTTTATGATTTAAAATATGTGGTGTAGACCTTCAGTTTCTTAAGAAACAGACTAGCCAGGCACAGTAGCTCACACCTATAATCCCATCACTTTGGGAGGCTGAGGCTGGTGGATCCACGAGGTCAGGAGTTCAAGACCAGCCTGGCCAAGATGGTGAAACCATGTCTCTACTGAAAATACAAAAATTAGCTGGGCTTGGTGGCAGGTGCCTGTAATCTCAGCTACTTAGGAGGCTGAGGCAGAGAATTGCTTGAACCCGGGAGTCAGAGGTTGCAGGGAGCCATGATCGGACCACTGCACTCCAGCCTGGGCAGCAGAGTAAGACTCTGTTTCAAAAAAAAAAAAAAAAGAAACAGATTAATTTTCCCAGGAGAGAAACATGCTGCATGTGAAATAATCATCAGTGTCTTTTTTTTTTTTTTTTTTTTTGAGTTATACTTCTCTCTCTCTCTCTTCTGTCTCATATAAAATGTCAGTTCCCCCCAAAAGAGAAATCTTTGCTCAGAGAGAAGTTCTTTCTAGCCAGGAGTGATTTTTCAGGACATCCTGGAACTGTCATAAAGCACACAACCTTCTGATGGGCGGGATGCCACCAGAGGCCCGTGCAGACCAGCTGACGGTCAGCCAGCCCTGTCCAAACTCTCCCTCCACCATGGAAGCAACTCCAGGAGTGTCACTTAAAATTATGAAATGGCATCCTACCTTAAAATCTGTCAGGAGAAGAAAAGCCAAGACTCTCTGAACCCAGCCAGCCTCCCAATCCCTGCCCAGGTTGGACCCAGACCTCTGTGGCTGTAACAGTCTGAGTTGCTGGGAAGATGAATAAAGAGGCTGCAAAGTCTGGGCTCCCCTGCAGTTGCTCATATTCCCACTAGGTGTCACCCTTGTTTTATAGAGAACGTGGATGGGCCGCCTATTCTCTACAACTGACGGCCTTTTTTAGAATGTCCCGAGTAAAAACAAATTCTATTTTTACTTGACAGACTTTCCCATAGACTGGAAGTACATATGACTCATCCTGAGAGCATGTACCCTTCCCGGTGTGCCAAAATTTGTATTTTTTTTTCTCCATCCCGCTGCAGTGTGTGACTTTGCAGAGACTCAGATAATTGTTTTATCTTTTTTTAAAGATAATTTCTTTTAAAAAAAAAAAAAGTTGGGGGAGTGGGGGTCATAACTTGTTCTGCTAGTTTAAGTATAAGCAGTTTCTACTCAGGCTCAGGCCTCAAGCCTCTCTTCGTGAACTTGTATGTTTTTTCCTGGAAGAAGGGTTCCCAGGGGAGGTGGACAGTCCCTAGCTGAGGCTTGACCTCCTCTTACCCAACACCTGCAAATGGGCCATCAAGCCACTTTCTGGTTTTGTCTTTGTTGACAAAATAAACATCGTTCTTAAAACAAGAGAGATTTAAAAGCTGATAAGAATTGGGCCAGTGTGCGTTTGATTTTAGGGGGGGCACATTTGACATTACAGCATTTCACTCTTCATTTCAGGGAAAAGAAGCCGCGACAGCCCAGTGGGGACCACGAGAACCTGATGAACGTGGTGAGCCCGCTCACGTCTGTCTGTCTGTCTGTCCGTGCCTGCTCCAAACATCAGCTCCTTGTTGCAGTGTGCTCCCACGTGCTTGCAACCCAGTAGAGCCCACAGAGAGAGCTAAGCCTGAGTTAAACCGTGGCCCCCTCCGCTGCATCCTCTTTCTGTAGGTTTGTGGCCGCCACGGCTGGAGGCCCATACAGCTCCCCCGCGTTCACTGGGAGAGCTTCCGAATGGATGCAGTAGTGCTGCCACCGGAATGATCCTTAGATGGCTCCAGCCTACTGCAGAGATGTGACTTTTTGCCTCTATTAATTTGCTAAGGCTGTCATAACCAAGGACTGCAAACTGATTGGCTGAGATAACAAGTTTGTTTCTCAGTTCTGGAGGCCAGAAGTCCAAAAATCCAGGTGTTGGCAGGATTGGCTGCTTCTGGGGGAGAGTCTGTTGCAGGCCTCTCCTGGCTTCTGGTGGTTTGTGGCCAAACATCGGCTGTGGCTTGCTTTGCAGAGGCACCACCCCAGTCTCTGCCTTCTCTTCCTGTGGCGGCCTCCCTCTGTGTTTCAAATCACCTTCCCTCTATGCCTGGCTGGCTGTGTCCAAGTTTCCCCGTTTTAGAAAGACACCAGGCATATTGGACTAGGGCCCGCCCTCCTCTAGCACGACCTCACATTAACCGGCTTCATCTGCAATGACCCTGTTTCCAAATGAGACACATTCTCAGGTGCTGGGAGTTAGGACTGGAGGACTGGAACATGAATTTTAGAGAGACACAGTTCAACCCATGACAACAGGTCATGAAGCTGGCCTGAGCCTGGGACCCACAGCACCCTTGGTATAGCCTGGCCTTGCTGGCGTTTTCCCAGCTGTCAGTATCCTGCAGGGTCCTGATTATCCCGAGGCCCTCAGGGATCCACCCTGGTGAGGAACAGCCTGAGAGTCCAGCCTTGTCTTCTCTGACCCAGGGCCGTGCTTTTGAAGGGCTGAGCAATCTAAGTCCCGGGGCAGTGCTAAGACAGAAGGTGCTTCTTGTTCAGGACATTTTTCAAGGTCTAGCAAAAACTGGTTGGGAGGAGGGGGTGCAAGAAAGGAAGCATGGATGAGCCAAGGTCTGGTGTAAAACCCGCAGCCAGCAGACGCATGCAGAGAGGACCCGGGGGCACCTCCAGTCTAGGCTTCCTGACCTGCCAATTCTCGGGACTCCTCTGGCCCAAGCAGGCAGGAAGTTGTCAGGACTCCCTGTTCCTCCTGGGACCCCCAGGATTTTCTTTCCCTCCCCTCCATGTGCACACGCCCACCTCACCCTTCACCACTGTCCTGGGCCCTCATTGCTACTCCTACCTTTACTCTTTTTCACCCAGTTCCCATCTCTGGTTGTCCATGTTGTCCCCACTTCTCATCTGTGCCCAGCGCCTCTGCTCTGCCTGGTGATTGCTGCTGTGGTGGCCTCAGCAGGGAGGGTGGGAGGGATGGAGGGAATGTCCCACAGTTGCTTCTCCCCATGCGGACTCCAGGCCCCTGCATTTCCTCACTCTACCATCCTCCCGGTGCCGGTGGGCTGGGGAAGAGCTCCCACCACCATTCCTCACTTCTTTCTAGAGCAGGGGTTCTGTGGTGTGGCCTGGAGCACTGCCAGCAGCAGTAGCACCTGGGAGCTCCTTAGAGGTGTGAATTCTAATGGGGTGGGGCCCAGTGAAAGGCTAACAAGGTGATCACCCCAGGGGATCCTGTTGTAAGCCCAAGTATGAGAGCCCCTGGCCCATACCTTGGGTTCCTACTGTCCTGCTCAAGGTCCAAGGTCAGCACAGCCCTGGCTGGGATAGGAAGAGAGTGGCAGGTGGATAAAAGGAAAAAGCTGGCTCCCCACCCCAACGCCTTCTTCCTCATCCACCATATAATTCATTACCACTCCAACTCATAGCCTCACTTTCTTGGGTGTGAATGTCTCTGAGTCAGCGTGTACACATACAGGGACACATGCTTTCACGGTCACTGGCACCCATGTATACACGCTCGCCCACCCAGCTCTCTTTAAGAGCTCCTAGATCTTATCCCTCTGGTGGATTCTTCATCTCATAGAAGCAGAGATTAGGAATAGTAGTTAAAATCTAGATTATGGTAACTTCAGCTGTGATCCATTATGCTGTTATGGGCCCACCTGGGAGCCTTCCTCCCTCACACCCATGCCTGCCCATTTATCACATCGTTTCTGGGATATTAGCGCCTGCATTGCAAGTTCCTGGCAACCTAACACAGTAACCCATCTCACTGAGGGCTGATCAGATATGAATGAGCTGCATTGGATTGAAATAGCTGACTCCCAGTACACTTTTGGATCATGACATGGCATGAACTCTCTGCTGTCTATTATTGGCTTCCAGTCAAGTGTCAAACAATTTGTGAGGCCAACTAGCAAAGGTTCTTGTGCTGTTTACATCACAACTTTCCTGGTAGAATCCTGGAGCATGACGCCGCCTCTTGGAACACGCAGGCCATTAAAAGGACAGGGAGCAAATCACATTTGCAGTGATTCAGACTGCAACCTGGGACAAGTTGGGTATTTTAAGAAATACATGAACTACCAACTTGCTTTCTGACTACTCTTAGCTATAGCTGAGCATGGCATATTGTTCTGGGTAATATCTACACATTCTATCCCTGCAGAAAACCAACTGTTGATGCCATTCTTCCCTCCAAATGTCCTAAGTTTATTTGTGAGAATAAGAAAAATTGGCAGGGCTGGGCACAGTGGCTCATGCCTGTATTCCCAGAACTTTGGGAGGCTGAAGTGGGCATATCACTTGAAGCCAGGAGTTTAAGACGAGCCTGAGCAGCACAGCAAGATCCCATCTCTTAAAGTTTGTTTCAGATTAGCCAGGTGTAGTGGCACATACCTGTAGTCCCACCTATTCCAGAGGCTGAGGCAGGAGGATCTCTTGGGCCCAGGAGTTGGAGCCTTCAGTGAGCTATAATCATGCCACTGTACTCCAGCCTGGGCAGCAAGGTGAGACCTCATCTATACAAAAAAAAAAAAGTTTGCAGAGCTAATTTTCAGCATATTATTGTTTCTGTGAACCTAGAAGCCAGAGACTTGGCTGGTTCTAAAATAGTTTCAGAAATCAATAGCATTATCTGTCTTTGACCAGATTTAAGTCTGTTCACATCACATGACAAAGGGTGATGCCTTTCCACATTTCTTATGGCATGGCACACCGTTACCAGTAATGATTTATAATACCTGTGTTGTAAGGATGAGGCTGCTGTAGTCTTTTTCAACCAGCCCCTTCCCTGCCTTGAGCTAAGGGAACTGATGCCTCACAACCTGCCTGTAGCCCTGTGTAGATCACCAGGCAGGAAGCTCTGCACATGGCCTTGGAAGATTCCCAGTGCTCCTAAGATTCTGGAACAACACTGTCTACTAGAACTTTCCGCAGTGCTGGAAGTGTGCTGTGTCTCCTATTGGATATGGTATCCACTGGCCACATGTGGCTACTGAGTGCTTGAAATATGACGAGTCAACAAGGAACTCAATTTAGTTTCTTTTATTTTACTTAATTTAAATCTAAAAACAGTAGCTCCCCTCAATCTATGGTTTTGATTTCTATAGTTTCAGTTACCCACCGTCAACCACAATCCAAAAATAGGTGAGAACCACGCAAGATATTTTGAGAGCACATTCACATAACTTTTGTTACAATATAAATATAGTTATTCTGTTTTATTACCAGTTGTTAATGCTAAATCTCTTACTGTGCTTAACTTGTCAATTAAACTTCACCGTAGGTATAATATATATGGATAGCAAAAGACATAGTTTGCATAGGGTTCAGTACGACTCATGGTTTCAGGCATCCATTGGGGGTCTTGAAATGTGTTCTCTGTTTATACCATGCTTTCACCAGAGGTAGGAGGACATCCTGTTACCCCTGTTTGCTGATAAGGAAACTGGGTGGGGGGACTACTGGAGGAAATTCTGTTTTCTGTTTCTGCTGTTTTAATTTTTTTTAAAACCACGGATCTTCTCTCCTCTGCAGTCCCAATTCTTAGCAATGTGATGCATGTGTTGTTATTGTTGTTGTTGTTTTTCAGCCTTCAGACAAAGAGATGTTCAGCCGCTCAGTTACTAGCCTGGCAACAGACGCCCCTGTCAGCAGTGAGCAGAATGGGGCACTCACCAATGGGGACAGTAAGTTCTGCAAAAATACCAGCTTTCAGCATGGGCCTCATCACCTATGAAAGTCCAAGGTTTCAAAATGTGTCAAAAAGTAGGAAATGTGTTATTGCTCACTTTTAGTATTACTAGCAGTTTTAGCAGAACACCTCATTTGGATGAATACTACTACTTATTCATCCACTTCTGCATGCCAGGCATTGTTCCAAGACTTGTAGGTGTACTAATTCCTTTACTCTCATCCCATGAGATTACTGTTATTGATAATAATATCAGTACCTTTTAAGATAGCTATTACTATTCACAATTTAAAGGTGACAAAACTGGGCACATTGCTACTGTAACAATATTACCACAAGCCTCATGCCTTAAAATAACAAAATGGGCTTGCAATTCCAGAGGTCAGGAGTCTGAAATGGGTCTCACTAGGCTAAAATCAGGGCATCATTAGGCCTGCAGTCCTTCCTGAAGCCTCAAGGAGAATCCATTGACCTCTCCCTCATTCTCCACATCCTTCTCTGACCCTCCCCCTCCCTCTTCACTTATAGGGACCCCTGTGATTACACTGGGCCCACCTGGATCATCCTGCTTCCCTCTCAACCCAGAGTCATCTAATTAGCAGCCTTCCACCTGTAACCCTAGTCCCTCCGTACCCCCACATAACATAACACATTCACAGGTTCCAGGAATTAGGAGGCAGACATTTTTCGGGATGGTTCTGCCTCCCACAGAAATGTTACTAATTTGCCTGATATCATAGAGCCAGCGGGCTAAGGATCTGTCATTGGAACCAGGCATTCTGAGCCCTGGGCACACACTTGGCCACTGTGCATAACATCTACGTCATGCATTGTATGCTCTTGCTGATGGAAAGAGCAGCTACATTTACTTCATGCTTTAGAGTTTACACCATGCTTTCACCTGAGGTAGGAGGGCGTCCTGTTACCCGTTTACCCATAAGGAAATGGTGGGGTAGTCAGGACACCAGTGCCTGTTCTCTGTCCACCATGATGTAGACAACTAGAACCAGAGAGCAAAAGTTCGCCCCTCCGTAATGACCAGGGATTTTGAACACACATGAGTGTTGGTAAGTTCAGAAGGATTGGGGGATGCATTGTCATTTCTTCATGTACCCCTTGGAGACACTTTTTTTAGATAGAGTCTTGCTCTGTTGCCAGGCTGGAGTGCAGTGGCACGATCTTGGCTCACTGCAACCTCCACCTCCCAGGTTCAAGTGATTCCCCTGCCTCAGCCTCCCGAGTAACTGGGACTACAGGTGTACAGCACCACGCCTGGCTAATTTTTTATATTTCAGTAGAGATGGGGTTTCACCATGTTGGCCAGGATGGTCTCAATCTTCTGACCTCGTGATCCGTCCCCATCGGCCTAAGTGCTGAGATTAAAGGGGTGAGCCACCACGCCCAACCCAGGAACGTTATTTCTAATTCCCCCAAAGCGAGACACTAATGGAATAACTTGCTTGCTTTGCGTCCACATCCTAAGGGCAGGGCTTTCTGTTGCGTTGAACGGTGTGTCTGCACACCCTGCACCATCCCTGGTACGTGGCAGGCACTCACAACATAGTTGACAAAGGGACAGCTGAATGACTCCACACAACAGCATATCTGTGGCTGGCCAAGAATCTCACATTTGGTTTTTTCTAATTTGAGGTAGGAATCTTGGTGGCAGAGTGAGATGGAAGAAGGGTATGAAGTGCCAGTTCCTTTGTGTTAATGGCTGAAGGGTGCTGTTTGCCCTGTGATTTCCATTACGTCTGCCAAGCAGAAGTGATCTGTGTGAAAGGGGTGGCTGCCAGTAGTTCCCTCCATACAGGCAGGGGCCAGTGGGGCTGGGGAGTGTGGTCACTGCATGTGCCCCGTTTCTGGAGTCCAGCATCCCATAGTTGGGCTGCATCAACCTGGTCACCTTCAGGTCACATTGGACACTGCCCACAAGACTCATCAGGAGTAGCATTAACTAAGGAAAGTAACTGTGAACTACATTTATACCCAAGATAACTTACCAAATATTGTATTGGGAGAGATAGAATGGACAGCTTTGTTTTAAGCTGTGATTAAAGCAGGATACTAACTGGCGGTCATAACAACTAAAATTTGTGCCAAAGACTTAAAAGAAAGCATCTTGATTTAACCTAACTATATTACCCGATTCTCAGTAGTGATTATGGAAAGACTTGCCTTTCTCCACTTTTAATGTGTCTTCTGCTTTAGTTCTTTCGGAGGACAGTACTCTGACCTGCATGCAGCATTACGAGGAAGTCCAGACGTCGGCGTCAGATCTGCTAGATTCCCAGGACAGCACAGGGAAGCCAAAATGTCATCAGAGTCGGGAGCTGCCCAGGATCCCTCCCGAGAGTGCAGTGGATAGCATGCTTACGGCGAGGAGTGCAGACGGGGACCAGGGGCTGGGGACAGAAGGGCCCTATGAAGTGCTCAAGGACAGCTCCTCCCAGGAAAACATGGTGGAGGACTGCTTGTATGAAACTGTGAAAGAGATCAAGGAGGTGGCGGCAGCTGCACACCTGGAGAAAGGCCACAGTGGCAAGACGAAGTCTACTTCTGCCTCGAAAGAGCTCCCGGCGCCCCAGACTGAAGGGAAAGCTGAGTTTGCTGAATATGCCTCGGTGGACAGAAACAAAAAATGTCGCCAGAGTGTTAACGCAGAGAGTATTCTTGGAAATTCATGTGATCCAGAAGAGGAGGCCCCACCACCTGTCCCGGTGAAGCTTCTGGACGAGAATGAAAACCTTCAGGAGAAGGAAGAGGGAGAGGCAGAAGAGAGTTCCACAGACAGGACCAGTGAAACTAACAAGGTGAGTGCTGGCGTTTTTGTTGTGCCTTTGTGGGCTCCTGTCCTGGTTAGGAATCTAGCTGGTCCTGGGTTGTTCTGGGAAATATCTGCAAACACTTTCCAGTTTGTTGAATAATGAGAGCTGTTTTCATGGAAGCTGTGTTTGGCTTTTTCCCCTTCCAAGTAATAAAATACCAAAAACTTGCATTTATCACATATTTCTCTCTCAGCACCTTACTTGGATATTTTCGCATTTTTTCCATCATGTCTAATTAGGGCCGAGTCTCATTTGCTTCATTTTGAAGTCCAGGAGTAAATTAGAGAGACTGGACTCATTGCCCACAGATCTTACCTATTCTGCTTGTTGACAACCTCAGCAGCATGGTGACCTTTACCCTTCCAGGATCCCCAAAATCAGCATGCATAGCAACAGGTACCACGAGAACCAACTTGCAGGCACCCATGGTTATGTCTGATTGTATAAACTTTCATATAAATCAACAGAAGATCTTATTTTGTGACCATTTCTAAACTATAGCCTATATTTCCTAAATTTAGATATTCAACAAATCTCTAAAATGCATTAGCAATCCACAGCCTTCTGTGCACATCTGATAGCTTGATGTCTGCGCTACAGTGAAGTTCACATCCCTAGTTGTCAAAATCTCTTTGGGATTTAACTAGCCCCATCTACTTCAGGCAACTAATATCTAATTTGTATTTTCTACACAGAAAAAGAGCAAGGTTCTCTCTTCTATTTAGATTTTAGTAGATGCAGGTAGCAGGTTAGCCAGTCACTAGTAGCCTTAAAAACCTTCCATAGTTCATGGACAGAGGTGGATACTCTGTTTGTATAGTTAGACCAAGAAAGTCATTCTTTGTGCTGTTCTCTGAATGGATTTCAACTTTTTGTATTATCCATGAAATCAGCTGTTGAGAGCACCACTAAAAGGGTTTACGAACATGTTCATAAAATGCAAAAATGCAGTCCAATTTTTTGCCCTTCATATAACCAAAGACAATAAGCCTGATGTGAAGTTCACGTTGCCTAAACCAGATAAAGCTTTTTACTTACAAGCATTAGAAAGATACGAAGATGAGTTGTCTAACCATTGCTCGTAAACAATTCTCCCAGATTTCACATTAGAAACTGGAAATACTCATCTGGAAACAAAATTCTCTTTCCACAGTATAGTAAAAAATGAATAATCCATCATCTTTATATAAACAACCCCAATTTTAAATGAGTTGAGAGTTTGAAGTATTTAATATTCATTCATTTATTTAACAAAAGATCTTAATGAGCACCTGCTGTGTGCCACACATTCTTTTAGGTGCTGGAAACAAAAGGTACATGAACAAAATCCCTGCCCTGTGGAACTTATAATGGAAGAGATAGACATAAAATTTAAAGTTTATAAGAGAAAAAAATAGAACTGAATAAGGAGGACTGAGAAAACAGGCAGGGAGTACAGTTTTGGATAGAGTGGTCAGGGTCTGCCCAGCTATGAAGGTGACGGTGACATCTGAGTTAAGGAGGCAAGGAAGTAAGGTTTGTGCTTTTGTGGAAAGGGTACATGAAGCAGAGGAGATGACCAGTGTGAGGCCCCTGAGGCTACAGCTTGCCTGGCTTTTTAAGGGAAAAAGAAGGGGACTGGTGTGGCTGGAGAGGGAAGAACAAGGACAGCAGTGGGGAGAAAGGGAACCAGGGCTCGATCCTGGATGCCCTTGGCTTATAATCTGAACAGTAATAATGTCACTAGAGTCCCGAGCAGCAGAATGGCACAACCCGGCCTATGTTTTCAAAGGATCCCTCTGGTTCCAGTTTTGAAATAGACTCTAAAGGGTGGAAGTGAGACCAATTGGGTGGCGACGCTAATAAACCAGATCAGAAATGGTGGTGGCCTGGATCAGGGCAGAGGCAGCAGAGGTGATGAGAAAAGCTAAGCCAGAGCCAATAGATTTGCCGATGGATCCTACGTGTGGTGAAATGAAGAAGAGGCAGTGATGAGTACGAGGCTGGGTCCAACACCCAGGAAAGGTGGAATCGCCATTAACTGAAATGAGGATACAGGCAGAGCAGGTTTTGCAGGGAGATCCAGCATTCAGGGTTGGATATGTTTAGCCTGAGATACCGACTGGACTTCCAAATAGAGCTTATCAGATGGTAGCTGGATTGATAAGCAAGGTTAAGAGGAAAGGCCAGGGCTGGATTTGCTGATGTGGGAGTCATCCACAGAATGTGGCTTTAAAAGCCAGGAGACTGGATAAGGTCACAGGATAGGCGAGTGTAAATAAAGGCTGGAAGAGTTCCACCAGTAGAGATCTGGAAAAGGAACCAGCAGACGAGACCAAGGTAGGAAACAAAAACAGGAAGGTTGTAGAGTCCTGGAAGCCAGTGAAGGACGTGTCCAGGGAGGAAGGAGTGGCGGGCTGCCCTGCTGAGTGGAGCGGGTAGGGCAGGGAAGATGAGCCCCATTGGTGCCCTTGAGAAGAGCAGTCTCTGGGGAGTGGTAGAGGCAGAAACATGACTGAAATGGATTAGAAGGAGAATAAGAAGAGAAAAATTGTTTGGCTGACTTTTTAAAAGATTTTGCTATAAAGAAGTGAGACAGGCTGGGTGCAGTGACTCATGCCTGTAATCATAACACTTTGAGAGGCTAAGGTGGGTGGATCACTTGAAACCAAGAATTTGAGACCAGGCTGGGCAATGCAGCAGAACTCCATCTCTATAAAAAATGCAAAAATTAGCTGGGCATGGTGGTGTGTGCCTGTAGTCCCAGCTGCTTGGGAGGCTGAGGTGGGAGAATGGCTTGAGCCTGGGATCTCAAGACTGCAGTGAGCCACGGTCACGCACTGCATCCCAGCCTGGATGACAGAATGAGACCCTGTCTCAAAAAAAAAAAAAAAAAAAAAAAAAAAAGGAAGTGAGATAATGAGTAGGTAGAATTTCAGAGTAGGACTGGGTTTGTTTTATTTTTAGAATGAGAGAAACAACAGCATGTTTGCATGTGGCTTGGAATGGTCCCATACTGGGAGAATTGTTGGCACAATTTAACAAAGAGAAAATAGATGAATGAAGAAGCTGAGGGTAGGGGTAGGATTATGATTCCTTCAGTTTTCTTAGCCAACTAGGAAGCAAGGTCATCTGCTCACAGTGAAGATGGATGAGAAGATGTTGGAAGTTTGGGGCAAAGAGGGGAAGATGCAAAGTAGACTTCGAGTTGAGCAGAGACCGGGTGTATTGGGGAAGCATCGGATGATATGAAACTGCTGTAAGGGCTCACTAGAGGGTTAAGTTCACATATGATTGGCAGTTGACTATGGAGCTTAAGCTTAGTAAAGCAGTAAAGGACACCAAGGAGAAGAGCAGGCATTGAAAACATGAATGGGTCCCAGTGGTGTTGAAGGAGCATTGGGACTGGGTTATAGGAGTGAGCTTTGACAATGAGTGCTGGTCTGAAAGTGTTGCAGGGAGTTGGGCTGGTGGAGAGGCTGTGGTTTAGAAAGGTCTGGCGTGCCGCCATGAGGGTGCCAAGGTCGGGAGTGGGCATGGAGAGGGAACACAGACGTAGCACAAGATCAGTGGGGCCGGGGCAAGTCAAGGAACTAAAAGCGGGAGTTAGAAGGTTACACATTTGTTGAGGTCACCAAAAATTAAGACAATCAATAAACCAAGATTAGAGAATCAGTAAACCAAGAGCCAAAATCATTGAGAAATCAGGCAGGGAGCAAGACACAAAATGGGAGTCCATTTCTCCATTAGCTTTGACATTCCAGATGACTTAAGGATCTTTCTGATGATGCCTGCAAACTGTAGAAGTATAAAATTCAGGCATTTAATAAAGAAACACCATGTTTTTAAATATTAGTCCTCCATGAATGACCAATCTTTCAGTGACAGTTAGGAATTGAAACAGTAGTATAGATAATTATTTTGGCTTATTTGTACCTACAGATCCAAATACAAAATGAGAGGAAATTTCTCTAAGGATAATGCTAGTAGCTATCACTGAACATTGTACATGCAGTAATAGATGGCTTAAGTGTTTGTTTCTCAGTGCTTCCCGTAATTTCTTTGTGGTTCCCTAAAAATCATTTGAAGACATTTTTAGACAGATAAAACATGCACAAAAGAAAGGTCAGAGGTTAACGTCAAACTGCTTTCCTTGGCTTGTGTTTGTTCCGACAGAGATTTAGCTCATTGTCATACAAGTCTCGGGAAGAAGACCCCACTCTCACAGAAGAAGAGGTAAGTTTTGTTTCTTTGTGAAAAGAGAAAACTCCTGTAGTAAGGAATAGAGCTTCTCCTCTTGAATAAATGCACTGTAATGTTACCCTTTGAAAGAGCTGAAACATTCTCTACACCTATGTTTGGAGATCAAGACGCGGGTTGTTAGTTTTATAATGGCTCAGAGAGACTGATGGGCAGGTTGTAAGACAAGAAGGATGGCAGGACAAGCAGTCAGCTTAGGAAAAGAAACTGAGCAGGAAAGCAGGGTCCAGGTCAGGAAAAACAGAGAGGGCAGGGGAGGAGAGTGAGAAGAGAGAAACTCCGCATGGGAGCAGTCAGCAGTCAGGAAGACCGTATCAGAAGGAAATGAATTGTGGGTTGGAAAATTCGGGAAATTAGAACAGGTAGGTGTAGGGAATTTGCTCCTGCCTGGAAGACAGAAAGAGGAGGTGTCTGTATGGAAATCTGGATGCTGAGAGCAGAAAACTTCAGTAAGTACCGTTCCACACTGGAGCTAGGGTCAGACATAGCAGCCAACAAGAGCAGATCACATATTCCCAAGCATCAGGGAGCAAAATCCACAGGTTAGATTTTCATTGAAGTGTTAAAGTTGTTAAAGCCAGTAAATGTATATGTATGTGCATATGTTAAACAGTTCAGTCTGAAACTGAGATCTGACTTTAAGTACTATTATCCCAATTTAACAGAATGTTGCGGAAATGATTGATTATAAAAAGAGGAGAAATGAGAAAAAGGAAGAGAGTAACTTAGGAGAATATAGCAACAATTTACAGACTGAGGAAATATGAAAGTTTTAAAGAGAAAAATTGAGAAGCTAAATAGCAAGGGGACTGAAAGAGGAACCTGTATACAAAATAAAAATAGTAGTCGTAGAAAACGAATAATCAAAAGGAAGATTAGAAGACTCGGGAAGCTTTCATAAAGCTTGAAATGTACAGTGAGACCCTCTACACACCAGATTTATTCCCAGAGTCAATATTATTTTGCAACTTAATGAATGAGGACAAAGGCCAAGAAGACCAAGCACTCCTACAAAGAGTGAGGGGCATTAAGGGCAGGGACCATGGGAAAGAAAGTTGAGGAGAGAGGCACACAGTGGTGAGGGGCTGACTCTCATTGTTGCGATCTAGGTCAAGGGATGTTTGTCCTCCTTGATGTTACCTTTGAAAGTGGTGAATAAACTGCCATGCCGTCTCCCCTCACCACTGTCATCTGCTGTTTACCCTTTTATAATCTGTCCATATATCATTTTTGGCCTGGACCACCATTTAGAGAAGAAATGCTGTTTGCACTTCATTATAAACAGCAGTGAATTTTTTTTTATTCTCCTTAAATTCAAAGAAACTTCTTTGAATTATAATTCTCCTATTTTGAGAGCAGTTTTTTAATTAAAATCTCTAAGGTGAGAATGTTAATAATTTAATATTCATTAGGATAGTCAGACCCACATGGAAGAGTTTTCCAAAGACTGTTTTTCTGAACTGTTACCCTTGGATCACGAAGGCCTAACCAAAGTGAGCCAGCCACCAGCCTGTATTGAAAAGTTCTCATGCAAGTGACCAGTTAGCATGTGGCAAGCCTGGCTTAAGAAGCTTTTGAGGCCAGCTGGAAACTTCACCCACAGTATGTGAGAAAAGTGAAAGCAGGAAAATGTCCCTTGGCACTTAGGAAGCCAAGCATCTGTCAGGAAGCGTGTTCATGTATTTCCTGGGTATTCGAATGAATCAAATCACTGTTTTAAAAATAAACACAGGTATAATGAAGGGTATTTTTACTTATTTCCAACCATGATTTTTCACAATAAAATAATACTCCCCAAAAGTCTTCTAATCCATACATTTAACCTTCACAATGAATGAAATCTCTGTTGACATCAGAGGTGATACAGGATTTATTAGTGAGACTGGGAGGGTGTGCTTAGAAAGCCACTGGCTCTTACCATAGGAAATAGTATCCTGTAAGTTGTCATTTCTGACTTGGCTTGTTGCAGGCAAGAATGAATTTTTCCACTGAAGAAAACTAGATCTGGACTGTCAGTGTCTGTATACACAATAATATGCAACTAAATCAAAAAACAATGGCCCAGCGTGGTGGCTCACACCTGTAATCCCAACACTTTGAGAGGCTGGGATGGGCAGATGACCTGAGGTCAGGAGTTCAAGACCAGCCTGGCCAATATGGTAAAACTCCATCTCTACTAAAAATACAAAAATTAGCCAGGCATGGTGGCAGGTGCCTGTAGTCCCAGCTTCTCAGGAGGCTGAGGCAAGAGAATTGCTTGAACCTGTGAGGCGGAGGTTGCAGTGAGCCAAGATCCACCATTGCACTCCAGCCTGGGAGAAAAGAGCGAGACTTCATCTCAAAATAATAATAACAATAATCATAATAGGAATACCCTTTCAAATATATGTGTGCCACCAGTGAGCATCCAGCCACTGCTCTTGGAGACCATGTGATGCAGGAAGCGTGGAGTAGTCTAATTCAGTGGTGCTCACACTTTACTGGCCCTCAGAATCAACACCGGTTGCTGGGCCCCGGCCCTGAGGTTCTGATTTGGGGGCTCTGGGGTGAGGCCTGAGAATTTCCCTTTCTGACAAACTCCCAGAGCCTGCTGCTGCTGGTTTACAGCCTACACTTTGAGAATCACTGGTCTACCAGGTGTTTTCCGTCCTTTTTTGTAAAGCAGTGGAGCCCTTTTTTAGGCAAAATATCATTCTGTGTAGAAGTGAAATAAAACAATGCTGTGGTCAGGTCCCCGCGGGCTTGAGGAGCTTCTCACTCTGCCTCTCCCCAAATTCCTCCACAGACCCAAGAGAACTGAGTTTTCATGGAATCAAGGGAATATGACTGATCTAGTTAACACAGTTGAAGATAATGTGTATAATTATTCTCTAGTAATGTGCTCCATAATTAGCATGGATAAGAAAGAACAAATCTTTAAGGAGCACACACACACAGAAGCCCAGGAGGGCTCAGTATGCAGCTTGTCACTAAAAAGGGGGAGAGGGAATCACAGCTGGAAGTTTATTCAACCCTCCCTTTGTTTCCTAGATCTCAGCCATGTACTCCTCAGTGAATAAACCTGGACAGTTAGTGAATAAATTGGGACAGTCACTTACCGTGCCGGAGTCCACCTACACCTCCATTCAAGGGGCCCCTCAAAGGTCACCCTCCTCCTGTAATGATCTCTATGCTACTGTTAAAGACTTCGAAAAAACTTCAAACAGCACACTTCCACCAGCAGGGAGGCCCGGCGAGGAGCCAGAGCCTGATTATGAAGCGATACAGACTCTCAACAGAGAGGAAGAAAAGGCCACCCTGGGGACCAGTGGCCACCACAGTCTCGTCCCAAAGGAGAACGACTATGAGAGCATTAGTGACTTGCAGCAAGGCAGAGATGTCACCAGGCTCTAGCAACCCAGAAGACAGCCCTGGGTAGCCTGTGACGATCAGCATCTGGGGACGTTTCTTCCATGGAAGAGAAGTGACACAGACCTATACTTCACATGCTGCTTTAGTCACCTGAAGCTGGTTGAAGAGGCCCTGACTGTTCTCCCAGTTGTTCAGTTTCTGAGACAAAGAGGTACGGACCAGGTGCACCTGAGTGTGCCCCTGACTGCCAGACGGACAGGCACACCCAAGCATATCTCCCTCCTGCACCCCCACGCCCACAAAAGATCCCAGCTGTCAGTGGCCTCATCCTATTAGTGAGGAAAGCCAGGCTGTATGGAAAAACTGCCCTCAGCGAGGACCACAACGCTCCCCGCCTAACGTACTGCCATTTGGAAAAGCCAGGTTTTTCTTCCTCTCTTTCCTTTTCTCTGTCTGCTATTGACTTTAAAATGTAAAGCCTTTCCCCTCAAAATGTCCAGATTTCTATGGTTCATTCCAAGGAAATTTTCACACAAGGCTTGGCCTTTGCCTTCAATGGAGGTGTCTTAGGATAGCAACAAACTGGCTGCTGCTTTCTGCCCAGCTTACCAGTCCTGGGGATCTGGACCCTGCAGGTGAATGGGACTGGGGAGGGACGTCCCTGGAGTCTCTTCCATCTTTGTTTCTTCTTATTTTGGCACTCTCTATCAGCAGCCTCTCCCCAAAGTACTTGAAGTCAGTTTTAGATGCTTTGTTTTATTTTTCTAGTCAAAAACATTTTCCCCCTCAATGTTTGAAAACTCATCCAAGCCTTTTCAGTATTTTCCATGAGTATTGTGGTACTTCTATTCTGGTTTAAGCCCAGAGCTCATTCCATCAAAACAGAGAGCCTTAATCTTTATGTTGGGACACAGACCACATATTTGGACAGCAGCCATACATCCATCTCTGAAGGGCTGTGGACATGAATGTGTGTTTCCCATGGTCTCCACTGCCCACACTAACAGTGTGGAATCTTGTAAGTTAACTGCTACCCTAAGGTCATCTAAGATTAAAATGTAAACATTTATTTTTGTTATGTAAGTTTATAAGATGTTTTATGTTTAATGCCTACTTTCTCAAAAGTGCCAGAAAAAATGTATATTAACTATTTTGATTTTAGGTACAATGATTTATACTCTCCTTTTGAAAAGATACCATAAAGCACATAAGCTAGGTCATTACAAGGAGCTGTTATCTTTTTTCTAATCAGATGTTTAAAACATTGATGGTTTTTAAAGACACCTTTTTAAATGGTACTTGGAGCTCCTGATCCAAATTATTTAGACCCCTAGAGAAATAAATGGAATAGACATAAATAATCATTTTCAGTGGTTTACGGTGGGCAATATTGAATTATTTGAAATGGTAAAAATGGAAAGAACAAAATATATGATGAGAGGAGCTGTGAATTATAAATCTCATAAAAGTGTCATAATTCCATTAAGGTTTAATTAGATTTTTTCAGAAAACAGTGATGAATTCTGCAGTCCAGTGCTTACCAATGCAAATTGTCCATTGGAATCTTTTTCCTATGTTTTACAAACATCAGTGGCTGAAATAACTCAGATTAAGAGCTCAACCTGGTTTGAATCTAATCATCTCTTTAGATCTTATAAGGCCAGCATTAGGAAACTTGTTCACTTTTCATTTTCTAAGGAGCCTAGTTGAAGTGCTATTATAAGTGTGGGCTATGGAAAGGCAGCTTTACCTACACTGATAAAGAAAAAAATGAGGAAATTACTTCATCCCATTGTGATGTCTGTGACTTTTTGGATTTAATAAACTAGCTGTTTTTCTTCTTTATGACAAAGCATATAATTGGGAGGATGAACTATCTTAAAAATTGTAGAGACCAGCTCATTGGAATGTTTTTCCATCCCTGTATTCATGGCTTGACTTTGCGGCTGCTCTACGTTGCACTTCTGACATTGTGAAGTGAGCTATGTTGAGGTCAACTGGCTGGCTGTCATTATTTTTCAATCATCTTGTTCTCTCCCATGAAGATGTCATATGCATAAGCACAATCATCATTGATTAGAAGATCATAGCAGAATACCCTTGGATTGGAGAGAAGTTTGTACCTTGCATTTCTCTGAATTCCAATCTCTGCTTTTTGCCAAGCACCGCTTTTTGCCTGGTGATTTTCACTCCTTTGTATTAATGACTTTGACCCAGCAATCTCTCACGTGAACAGGTTCTATAGTACATGGTAACAGCCAAGTCATGTTACACACCTAGCATTGTGCATGCTGTAATGACATCCTTTATAGGCACCTTACAGCTCAAAAATTTTGTTTCATATCATGCCTTACTTATCACCAGGAAAGTGGGTATGATCTCTAAAGAAAAAAAAAACTCTTTTAATAGAAAGCTCATAAATAATTATGTCACTTTACAATTTCATTACCAAAATTTCACCCAGAAGTTTTCAAATATTAGTTCTGCAATGTGGCCAAATATACACTGAAATACACCTTTTAATTTGAGAACGAGTGGTTAGAATAAGTTGTGATATAAGCATTTTCAGTGGACTTTTAAAGGAACTCTGTAAGGCCCTCCAGCAAAAACGATAAAAGAATAACCGTAGCACAGGCCATGAGGGTTGGGGGAGAGAGAAGCAGAGATACCTTAGTGAGATTGCTCAGCTCTTTGGAACACTGGCTATTTTATTGGAGTATATTTACTTCAATATATAAACTTCATATAAATGGTGAGGCACCATCACCGTTTTGACTGTATAGTATAGTTTTTCATAAATTTCATCACATTTACTTTGTTCAGAATCTGTGCTTGGATCTTTGAGTTGGACAAAGCCTATGGCTTCTTTAAAAAAGTTTCATCTTGAGCTAATACTACAGTTTAAATAAAATGTATGAAAAATAGTTGTCAAAACAATATATTTAAAATTCTATCTTGACATCCATTTTTACAAACAATGATAATAGGTTATGTAAAATTTCAAAATAAATTTTAGGATATGTTTTTGTCTTATAAGTAAGAATTATAAATCTATCTTAGTTAAAAGTAGAATCTTTGTTTTTATTGAGGTATTTGAAAGCTTAGAAGCATTTTGTATGCTGTTTTTTGGTATTTCTTAAGTATAGTCAGCAGGAAAGGGTAACCTGTTTTATGTGAAATTTTTAATTTGTCAAAATTTTTAGTATGTCTACTTTCTGAAATAGTCTCAATATCCTATCTGTATCCTAGGCAGATAACTACACAAGAACAAAATGCTATATAGAAAAGAAAATGTTTGAGGAAATCTTAAATTCTATAAGAAGGCAATTCTTGCAAGAATGTTGGCTACATATATTTTTTCTGTCCTGAATAAATTACATAATTATGTCTGCTAAAGCTTTTGAAGCTACCACTATTCTTTGTGGGAAAAAAAGCTAATTACTGATTTATCTGCCCTCAAAATCCCAGAGTTAATTCTAATTGAGTACTGAATTAACAATAAGTAGTTAACACAAGAACTAAAATTTAACCACATTATGTCACTATATATATTTCTCTTGATTTTTATTTTGCCAATTACAGCATTTACTTACTTTAACCAGTAACAAGCTACAGACACACACACACACACACACACACACACACACACACATACGTGTGTGTGTATATACTTGGCTCTGACACAACTCTGGTGCTAAATTAGGATATGTTCTGTGTTTTGAATGTTTATCCTGCTAGTATGATGAACTTTTGTCAGAAAAGCAGAATTAGAAGGAACAGTTTTTAAATCATTTTCATTTGGTAATTATGGGAAAATCTTGAGTTGCTCTCATTTAATTTTTCCAATTAATACATTTAGATGTTAAATTGCATCTGTAATTCTCTTGGCTGAAAAACAGTGGTATTTTAAGACTATTTTGTTACCTATGTGACTGACTTCTGACTCAACCTGAGAGGAGGAAATGTAAAGAGGGTACTTCTCAGATAAGTGTTTGAGAAGAGATTTGGCCTAAAGAGCGTGGTAGCCTTGAGCCAGGATGAAGCCAGGGAAAGGTAACTCCCAAGGAGCAGAAGCAGAGGTCGGTCACCCGTGGCATTCTGTTTCATTCCCTTTTAAAACTGTGAGCTTTTACAGGCGGCGTGAAACATCAGCACGCAGCAATGTGATAGGATGTGCACAAAAGCTGGTTTGATACCGTGGCTATAATTACAGAGCTTTAGTTCAATTAGGATTTTGAATTCAGATTTTGTAAATGAGCAAATGACCTTTATTTTTAGTGCTCCTTGTAATAGTTAATATGAGTCCGTGCAATCTTGTGATGCCATTCTTCTGAAGCTCTTGATTTATGGTACCCAGCCAACTTAGCTTTGGCTGCTGGAAGCGTAGTAGGTACTGATGGTTATTTCCTGGAAATCTTGACAGGCTTATTGTACTATGTAATGGGGAAAAGCTGAAGTGTCATGTTTGGTGTTAATAAGCGACTAATGTGAAAATAGGAACATGTGTCTATAATATCAAATATGGCTTTATTTGCAGTGAAATCGAAATTCCTTATTCCACGGTACTATTTCCCTGCCCTGCGTTGTATCTTTTCTTAAGCACATTTTTCCTGACAGTGGCTTTAGGCAAGTTGAACACACTTAGACTGAAAGTGTTTAACTTAAAGAGATCAGTCCAGAAACCATGATGAATTAGAATCTTTATCTGGAATTACCAAATTAAAATTTAAAATCATAGTCCAGAAGAGAACAAACATTCATGTTTGTTTGTATTATCCTACTGCTCATTTTTAGGTCCGTGTTTACATCCAGTCTCTACTATTTGTGAAGTATGTCATTATTTTTTTCAAATTTTTCTTTGACTTAACTGAAAAATAATATTCCAAATTCTTCTTAATGTAACATGAAAAGAGAAATACAATTTTTGTTTAAAAGACAGGTTTTAAAAAGCATTCAGTTCAGTAATCATTCCTCCTAATGCAGGAAGATTTTTTTGGGGCTTGCCAGTTGTATACTGTGGGTATTCTGTTAACTGTACTGTGCTTAGGTTGCCTCATATCACCTTGCATAATCATGTATGGCAGAGGTTGCTCTTTGTCATTTCTCAGATGACTGTATGTTACATTGGCAGCAGTAAAATGTTTTCATGTTGTTACCTTTTAAATAATTGTGTTGTATTAACATGCCTCATATTTTCTGGGAAAACTTGAAATATAGCTAAACAAAAAAAGGTCTGTTGTAAATAGGAATTGGCATTTCATTGTTAATACATTGTTTCCTTATAAAAAATAGTTACACCAAAAGTGACATATTGTCTATTACATGGGCCCAATCAGTATTAAAGTACTCCCCCTACTCAAGAATGTTAAAAAAAAAATAATTCATGACCACTTAGTAGCATTTTCATTCATTGTTCCAAAAGGCCTTTGTAATGGTCAAATTGTCTGATTCACAAAAGATTAATAAATACTGTTTTCAGTACTGGGAATTTGTAAGTCTTAGTTTTAAGTCCAAAAATATCTCTTATTAGCTTACACATTTTTGTGATTACTTTTCCCTCCCCAGCTCTAGTCCTTTGAAGGAGTAAGTCTAAAGAATGAGGCCATGAAGTCACTATTTCCTCTCACCTCAGTTTGCCTCCTGGGACTTAGCTGGACTGTCACTTTGTATAGCAATACCCCTGGCTGGGTCTCTCCTTCACTCAGCCTTCTGAGTCTACTAGTCATAGGACATGCCATTATGTCTTTCCAGTACTGATCACAATGCTGCCATATCACAGACTCTGCCAGCCGGCATAGAACCACGCCTCGTCACAGCTGAGTGAGCAGACAGCTCTGCCCAACTCACAGGCTGCCAGAATGAGGCCACAGGTCCACCTAGGGCAGCAGGTGCTAGTGCTACTTGTCATGAGTTTTGCCAACGCATGTATACTGTTGCTCGCCTCTTTCGTAGGAATGGTTGACACTGAGGGCCATGGAAAATAACTTTTAAAAAATTATGTGGTAGAATCAAACTCACAAAGGCAGAAATGTGAGTGTCATGCTCTATCCAAGTAAGCTCAGTGTTCCCTGCAGTGCTTTGTATCTGGCCTGGGTCTCCTCAAGCTCCAGTGGAGCAGCAGCCCCTGCTGTCCAGCATGCGGAAGGTAGATCCTTATGACAACAGCAGACCTGCAGTTACCAGGAAAGAAAAAGGAAGCTGAGGATTGTGAAGGGGAAGAAATTCTCATAAGAAGTAATCATTTTTAGGCCAGGTGCAGCAGCTCATACCTGTAATCACAGCACTTTGAAAGGCCAAGGCAGGTGGATCACTTGAGGTCAAGAATTCGAGACCAGCCTGGCCAACATGATAAAACTCCATCTCTAGTAAAAATACAAAAAAAATTAGCCGGGCATGGTGGCATGTGTCTGTCATTCGAACTACTCGAGAGGCTGAGGCAGGAGACTCACTTGAACCTGCGAGGCAGAGGTTGCAGTGAGCTGAGATTACACCATTGCACTCCAGCCTGAGCAACAGAGTGAGGAAAAAAAAACACCATTTTTAAAGTAAACTGAGTGTAAAATGTTTTTGCCATGAAGCCATTGCACCCTCTCTCCCAGGAAACAGTGCCTAAGGATGATGTCAAGTTACAGCTAGTTTGCTCTGCTCTCCCAGGTCCTAGGGAAACTGGGAGTGCTTCAGCATGCAAAGTAGAGCTACCAGATATGGAGAATAATGTGGCCATTTATAGCAAAGTGTCTGACTTCAGAGTGAGAAGCCAAGCACCTTCTAGGTACTGGGATAGGTGAATGGGAGATAGCTGCTGACGTTCTCATTTTCTACGTACATCAGAAGCCAGGGTGCGTTTCGTTGTGGTTTTTTAAAACTTTGCTGTAAGTCATCACAGTTAATTCTTTGAATATATATTCTAGTGCATAATTTTTTTTTCAAAATTAGCAGAACAGATATTTCTGCTCATTCTCTTTATACATTTAGTTTTTTAAAGTTCACCTAGTATACCTGTTAGGAACCCTAAATAGGACACAGTCAAGGCTGAAAGAAGGACTAGTTGGTCCCTGGAAGCTGCTGTTCAGAACTGTCTTGCTGCAATGTCCTGGTTTGGTTTGGTTTGGTTTTTAACTCAACAAGTTGGAAACCACGAGCTTAAAGCAAACTATTTCCTTTTCCTTTCTTAAGCTTAAAGAGATTTTTTTAAATCTTTAGCTCCTCATTTAGGTAGTGAAGTCTTTCCTGAAAGACAGCAGTGCTTTCCCTAGAGGAAGAGACTAGGACCAACAACCTGAGTCTGTGGGTTGAGGATTTTGAACATTCCTTTGACAAGCTTCTATGTATTTTTAATGGAAGACTCATAAATGAGCCTGATGTGGTGTTCACGACCCATCCCTTA